TATTTACATATATATATTTATATACTTTTGTATGTATGTAACATACTTCAATCCTCTTTGCTCCCTAGTCCCCTTTACTTTCCTCTGCCTGCTGATCCCCGCAGTCCCCTTTTATACTTATGCCCCATTATTATTATTATTATTATTTTTATTATTATTTTAAGTCTAGATTCCATATGAGTGAAAACATGATACTTGGCTTTTTGATTTTGGCTTATCTTGTTTAATGTGATGTTCTCCAGTTCCAGCCATTTTCCTGCAAATTACATAATGTCTTTCTTCTTTATAGCTAAATGATACTCTATTGTACATATGTACCACCTTTTCTTTATCCGTTCATCAGTTGTTTGGCACATAGGCTGATTATGTAGCAGGCTATGTGACTAGAGCTGTGATAAACATGAGTGTGAAAGTATCTCTCTTGTATGTTGATTTATATTCTTTGGATATATGCCCAAGAGTGGTATAGCAAGGTTATAAGGTAGTTCTATGTTTTAGGTTTTTTTTTGAGGAACCTCTATACTGATTTCCATAGTGGCTACACTAGTTTACATTCCCACCAACAGTGTATGAGGTTCCTTTTCACTTGTATCCTCTCTAGCATCTGTTGTTTGCTTTCTTGATAATCTGACTGGGTTAAACACTAATAGTAGGGCTTTAAGGAGATGATTTTTTCAAAGATGTCTTCTTCCCTCCCTCCCTCCCTCCCTCCCTCTTTCACTCCCCCCCATTCCTTCTCTTTCTTCCTTCTCGTCCTCGTCCTCCTTCTGTGTTAGGTTGAATGCGAGCACCCTCTGCATGCTAAGACGCAGTCCACATTGAGCTATAACCCAGGAACAACACCTTTCAGAACTTATGAAGACAGGTGTGATTTCAGGTTTGGTACTATGAGAATGATATAATCCAAAGAATGCATTATAGGATTTTATTGCTTATTAAAGCAGCATTAGATGACTGGTAAACTGCTAAAATTTCTGGAGTTGAATAAATACTAAGATGAGAACATAAAATAGATTTGTATAGGAGGAAGAGTTTTGTGGGATTGACACTAATCTGTTTGTTATTCAACACAAATGTGTCATGGGTGTCTGCTATGGGGTTAAGCTTGTATTAAGAGGCATTTGCTGTCTCGTTGTATATATAAATAGGGTAAATATTTCTCTTGTTTTTTCCTTTTTTTTTTTTTTTTTTAGTTCAGTGAAAAACAGGTTTGGGGAGAGCTATAGAACCTACCAGTTGGTTATAGCTGAAAATACCAAGTTCTGACTTCCTGATAGAAATGGTTAGATATGGACTACACTATTTGACACCTAGTCCATTCACTGTGAAATAGGAAGAGAAACCCCATTACATTTAGATGGAAGGTAAACCTGAAGTGATATGAATATGGTAATTGACCGAAAGTGTGTTAAAATCAGCTGGCCCAACACATCTTCTCTATTGGCTTTCCAAATGCAGATGATATGCCTATTTTCTTATCATAAGTCCAAAAAAGGGTGAGGAGAAAATGTAGATTTTGATATTGATTATTTTAAAACCATGACAAAAGCCTTTAGAAAAAAATAGCAATCTTAATGGTTTAAGAATAATCAAGCAGCATATCAGTAAAAGGTATTTAAGGGTTAGAAACATTTCAATAAGATATTTTGGAGCTGTTGATATAGCTCAGTGGCAGAGCACTTGCCTAGCATGTGCTAGGCTCCATGTTCAGCCCCCAGTACCTAAAAAAAACTTTATGTACACTACAAAGCGTGATGATAATTTTAGCATTAATAAAGTGAAAATTAGGAATAGGACAGGGCCAAATTCTAGATTGTGTGAAAACCCTTCTGTCCATGATGTATAAGAATTCTGTTAGTACTTAGACAATACAGATCTATTTGTACCAGAAAACAATGTGAATAAATTCATATTTTGCATGCTTGATTGGGAGACACAGTGTATAATGTTCAGAGTGAGTGGAAGTTACAACAGGGAATTTAACAAGGATTAAATTGAGACAAGGCATGTATATGAAGAGTAGGGGGAAGATAGAGAAATACGTAATAGAAGAAACAAAGGAAGAACATTTGTTCTGTGGAGTGCTGAGGAGGAGGGAAATGTCAAGCATGATTCACTGGAAGAGGGGTAGAATTCTAATTTCATTGACAGAAATAAAAAAGCTCAGGAAGGGATCCAGTGTGTGGAGAGATGAATGCAGCTATTTAGAAAACATTAAATTGTTTAATAAAACATTGAACCTTCTGAGAAAAGTCCAGGAAATTGTAGGATTGAGATGGAGACACAGAGGAGATAATAATTGTTATAGCAAAATAACAAGTCCCCAAAAAGAAACTGTAGAGAGAAAAGTATAAGTTCTGAGCACAGGACCTTAGAAAATGTTCACAGAAAGAGAAGTTACACAAAAATGCAGAAAGGAGAATTAGGTTGAAGGAAAATCAGGAGAAAATGATGTGATAGAGTAGTTGAGAGTTTCAAGGAATAGTTAAAATTGATTAAGAAAATAAACAAGGAATAAAATCACAATAAAAGTCTCTAAAATTAATGATAGGTTATAAGTAGCCTTTGAGGTTTCAAATTATATAAGTTAAGGAATGGTGGAAATTCCCATGGCTTATAGGATGAATATAGGAAATGAAGCTGAAAAATGATTATTAATTACTTGAGATTTGACATGAAGAGTCTTAGAATGATATGTTATACAGCAAAATGTCTTCTCCCAAATGTAGAGGTTTGTATATGTATTTATTTTATAATGAGGAAGAAGTCTGAATATTTTTTTATAAAGAGGGAGAAGGAGCTACTAAGGGTGAGAAAGAAGCCTGAGGATAGTAGAGAAGGGGAAGAAGTGAAGAAGATCCCGAAGGAGACAGACTGTTCAGGTACTTTTGAGAGAATGCTTGTCCTTTGATTCTAATTTCACCAGTGATCTTTCAGCTGTCCTCTGTTATGTAGGTTTTGCAGGTGAGGAATGATGGGGCTCAAAGAGACTAACTAGCTTGCTCTAGGTCTCTGGAAGCAGAAGAGATGTGGACTCAAATAAGAGCCATTAGGCTCTGAACCTCATGCTTTTCCCGGGTGAGACACTGTTGCCCATTAGTAATGAGACAGGGTTGTAGGTCAGGTGCATAAAGGAACAGTGAGTCAGGAGCTTGCCTGTTCTCTAGGCAGCAGGCCAGCACAGCAGCAGAAGAACCAATAATGAGATAACAATCCACTTTGTGCCTTTTCTACTTGCTGGGTCTGCAATTTGAAAACAGAAGAGGGTATTATTCACCCTGAAATCCCAGCTTCCAGCAAAGATGGTACTTCATACATATTTGCCCAATTTGTGGAGAAAAAGTCTATTTCAGATGCAGTTCTTCAATATATTTAACAACAGTAGACACATTTTTTAAATGAACTATTTTTGAAGTGTTAAAATTTAAATTTGATTGTCTTCTTTGAGACTTTTCTCAAGCTGATTATGATTTGGGAAAAGCAACATGAAACGAGACGGAAATATCAAGTTAGAGCCACAGAGGAGGAAATTTCGAGAGGGAAGGTCAGATTTTGAGGAGGACATGAAAGAAGTTTATAAAAATGTATGTGACTGAACCATGGACAACATAGGCATTACTGAAACTAATTGTCTTGTTTTGTACTTAATCAGTTAAGAAAGTTGAAACAGAGACAGTTTTCCACTTTCAGCTCAGAGACCCTAGTCTGACCAAGCTCCTCTGTTTCTGCCCACAGTCCTTTCCGCCTCCTTTCTCCTGTTTTCTTTATTTTGTACACATTAAGAAAATGAAAGTTAGTGAATAGGCAGACATGCAATAAGAATGAGTTAGGTCTAAAATCCTTAAAAGCACAACATGTTTCAGTTTAATATTCAAAACTGACTTTATAACATAGTAATATTACTGAAAAAACACTGAGCAAAAGTAAGAAGGAAAGTCCATCCCAATGTACACGTACATGAAGTCATGCTTTACTTTTTTGTCTTTGACAACATGATGGGTCCTCAAATGTATGATTTCTCTTACTGCGTTTTACCTAGAATGAATAGGAGTCCATAGTTTTACTTTCTTTCTTTGAAGGTCATGTCCAAAAGAATAGATTCTTAACTGCAGCAAGATGAGAAGAGAAAGATAAAAAGAACAATTATAATACCCTCCCATGCTCACTCATGGATAAAAGACTTTCAGATGACCAGTGGACCCCAGGGTCTTCAAAGCAATTCCTAAGCTCTCAGCTGTATTAAAGGCTCCAGGGTTATTTGTGTCTGAATTTGTGCAATGTGAGGGGAAAATTGTGTTTGCTGTTTTACCTACCCGAACACAAAGGTCATTCTTCTGCTAACACTCATGTTATCATGGGAGTTCTAACGTTAATGATTCAAAAGTTCTTTCTCCATACACCATCCACATTTGAGATTTCATACTTATATGTTATTTAATATTATGCTGTTCTCTATATAAATTGTATTCCTAAGTCAACACCATAGACATGCCAGATAAAACCAGGTTTAAACTTGAGTTTTCTGATCCTAGATCTTTCCACAGGCTTATTTCTTCCAAATCATTCCTTTTATAATCGATTTATGCATTTCACCATGATGAGTCTAGTTGATATATTTAAGATAACTCTTTTAACTTTCTAATCACATTCTTCTTCACTGAATATGATTTCACCTACCATTGCCATATACAATTCTTTACTTGCCCTGGCCTCTGAGGTAAGTTAGTAAAATGGTACTGTTTCAGAAATTGTGGCACATTATTTCCATGCAATAACTAAACTCGGGGAGGTCATCAAATTGTGTCTTCATGAAGGGACTCAATAGTTGTTCTGACACAGCAATTTAACGTATATTGGGATCAAGTGCGTCATCTTGGTCAACACATGATCTGAAAACAGCTAAGGATGGTTTACACACATGCATTAAAATGTTATTTTTATGTTTCTTGATGATCTTGTGTTATTTCTGACTTTCACTGCAGATTAATATCTTTTGATAGGAACAGATAACCAGACGTTGTTGAGTGAATTTATTCTCCTTGGCCTATCCCATGACTGGAACACTCAAGTTCTCTCTTTGTCCTGTTCTTGGTCATGTACCTGGTGACAGTACTGGGGAACTTTCTCATTGTTGTTCTGATCAAAGTGGACAGCCGACTCCACACTCCCATGTATTTCTTTCTCACCAACCTATCCCTTGTGGATGTGTCTTATGCTACAAGCATAGTCCCTCAGCTGCTGGTGCATTTTCTTGCAGAACATAAAGTGATTTCATTCCTGGGCTGTGCAGCCCAGTTATTCTTCTCTCTGGCCCTGGGTGGGGTTGAGTTTGTTCTCCTGGCAGTGATGGCCTATGACCGCTATGTGGCAGTGTGTGATCCCCTGCGATACTTTGCCATAATGCACGCAGGACTGTGCAGGATGCTGGCCGTCACATCTTGTGTTAGTGGCTCCATCAACTCTCTTATGCAGACAGCTATTACTTTTCAGCTTCCCATGTGCACAAACAAGTATATTGATCATATATCCTGTGAACTCCTAGCTGTGGTCAGACTGGCCTGTGTGGATACCTCCTCCAATGAGATTGTAATAATGGCTTCCAGCATCATTCTTTTGATGACACCCTTCTGCCTGGTTCTATTGTCCTATGTCCAGATCATCTCCACCATCCTGAAGATCCAGTCCACAGTGGGAAGGAGGAAAGCTTTCCACACCTGTGCCTCTCACCTCACAGTGGTAGCCCTATGCTATGGCACGGCCATTTTCACCTACATCCAGCCCCACTCCAGCCCCTCTGTCCTTCAGGGGAAGTTGATCTCTCTTTTCTATGCCATCTTGACACCCATGCTGAATCCCATGATTTATAGTCTGAGGAATAAGGAGGTAAAGGGGGCCTGGCAGAAACTATCAGGACAATTCTCTGGACTGACATCCAAACTGGCAATTTGATGGCTCATATTCACCACTTGGAGGAAAGTGATTTGCCTTTGTGCTCTCCACTCAACTCAGACATGACAGGCTTGCACTTCATTGCCCTGGCAACCAGGAAGGAAGGAGATGATGAAACATGTTTGGCCGATGTTCTGTAGGAAGCTAAGTGGTTTGTAGGGGTATGGAGTGTGGGTGTATTTTTATGTCACAGCAGCAGGTTCAGTGGAGTTAAGCACTGCTTTCATCGAACTTCTCACCCTTACCCAATCTCCATTCTTATGATCTGACAATAATAGAGAAAAAGTACTACCAACTTTTTCAGTTTGTCAAGTTGTTTGTAACCATGGACCTTCTCATGGATCTTATCTTGTGCTATGGGTACTTACGCAGATATATTTCAAAAAAGGTTATCATGATTTTAGTGGAAATAAAATGCTCTTTCACATTTGAAGATTCAACTAAAATAATGTGTGGTCTACGTAGTCACATGCATAAATTGGGTGAGTCAACCTTCTAAGGGAGATATTGTCAAGAGAGATTAAAACACTTTTGTGAGGACCTGCTAAATGTCAATATAATGCCTTTCTATGAGTGCTGAAGTTAGTAATTACAGAAATATCAAATGAAGATCTTGTTTCATTACAATAGGGATATAAACAAAGGTTGTTTGCATACATGGCTATTATTGGCCAAGAAAACCTGAAGTTTCTGGCACTGATTGATAGCATTCAGTTTGAGCAGATTTTTACTGCATATATAAGAAATATCAACCTGAAATGTTGGATGTTTAATTTATGAAAAATCTGCAAGCTCTCCGAATCTTCAGAAAAAAATATATATTATGAGAAAGACATAGTTACTCTAGGAAAGGACAAACTTCTCATTTAGATTAAATAAAAATGAGACAATTTTTAATATGAGTTCTGGGGAATTGAGACTGTTCAGTGAGTTGTGCTAATGTTCCCCTCAAGTTTCTATATTAAGCATTTCTCCCATCTTCACTCACATGCACAACAGGCTTTCAGTGATCTGGCCTTGAGTGTGAACTCATGTTTAATGAACATTTTAAATAATATAAAAGAAAAGAGAATAGGTAGTTGAGTAAGGGATAAGTGAGTAGAAAGAAGAGAAAGTATAAAATTATAGCTTGTGCTCACTTCCTTGAAGAACTCAGTGTTTCCTTTCTCACACTAGTTCTTTGAACAAGTTGACCTACAGTTCTTACATTTGTCAACACACCGTCACAGAATTTGAGGGTTCACATACAGTTGGAGACTCATATAAGCTGAAGCCCATTTGACATTTGAGTTTTATCTTGATATTAATGCAATCTTAAATCTTGGAAGATAAGCAGGCTTCCAAAATATGTCAATGCTAACTAAAATTCTATAGGCAATAATCAAACAAAATTAATGGAGTGTTTATTATGTGTCAGTGTCAATGAATTGTTCTTGGGCACAGTTGTCAATATGGTACAATCCTACCGATAATGTCCTTACATGGCTGGGATGCCAGAATATGGAGCAATTATAGTTCATTGTGCTATGTATTAAAGTAAGAGTGAAGTCTTCTTATGAAAGAACATTTAGGTTAAGACTAGAAATACAAAGACTACTTATCCTGATGACAAGAAACCTAAACAAGGAAAGACTTGGACAAAGTTGTAGAGATAGGTGCAAGCATGTGAATCCAAGCATGCTGGAAGCCTGACTGCAGGATACAGGAGAGTGAGGAAGTAATGGCGATAAAGCAGGCAGGCAGATGTACACACTCAGAACCATGCATACTCAGAACCTGGAAGGTACTGAATGTAAAATTATTTTTTCCTCTATTTTGATAGCAATGGGGAGCCAGTAAAGATTTTTTTTGGTAAGATTATGGCTTAGAAATACTGACTTCTACCTATAGATGGCAGTAATATCTTCTTTCCACCAGGCACTGAAGAAAATTGCCTGTACTAGAGAGCTGCAGATCTAGTTCTATCAAGATGGCAAAAGCCATATTCTCCCTTGCTTTCTGGGATACATTTATAAACATAGAAACTTCCTCTTCATCAATATTTCATCTCTGGGCTTACTTGGTAAATGGAAAGGAAAAAATAAAATTTTTACCTTTCCCTTTAACCATGTTTTAATAAAACAAATGGGGGTCTTTAGGAACACAACAATATAAATATATTTGACATATCATACGCTGCTGAGGTTAATATTTAATTGAGGTTGATGTTTAAATTGTCCTATATTTAGTGAATGAGCATCTATGTTAGTTTTTTAAGTTGTTACTTTATATTTTTGGAGGTCAAGTCTGGAATGGGTTTCAATGGACTCAGATCAAGATGACCACTGGGCTGCATTCCTTTCTGGAGGTTCTAGGAAAATTACTTTCTTGCTTTTTCCTGCTTCCTGAGGTGCCTCCATGCATTGCCTCATGGCCCCTTCTTTGATCTTCAAGGCCAAGCACACAGCAAGGCTCTCTCTCTGATTCATTATTTCTATCATCACATGTGCTTTTTCTGATACTGATCATAAGGACCTTTGTGATCACAAGGAAACCCCTGAGATTTCCTTTTCTTTCATTCATTCTTTCTTTTTCTTTTTTTTGCAAATGAATAGTAGTCTTCAAGAGCATTATATTCTTACTTTATAGTGTCAAACAATATTATGGTCCCATTGTTTACATTTCTTACTTTCTTATAGGAATTATTTCTCCAAGAATATCCGGATCCTTTTAGCGGTAGATGCATTTAGAGACCATAATCTGAATACTGTATTCAGTTGGATATTAGGGTTAGTACTTCAACTAACAAGGGAGAGGGTCAGTAATGGCAGTAACTGAGTCTTGGCTAGACAGAGTTTAATTTGCTGAACCAAAAGATGGCCTTCATCTTTGTCACCATGACTACTGTATCCTTGGGAAATAAGGTTGACCCATTCCTAAGGTATGTGAATATTGTTGTCCATATGAAATTTTGTCTTGGGCAGTCACATGGGACACACATGAATTTGCTCCTATTTTTCTTAATCATCTGTATGACCACTCCACATTTAAATCTCTATTAAGTACATGATCCATTTTAAGTTAATTTTTGCATCTGGTTTGTGAGGTCTGGATCTAGGTTCCTTGTTTGCAATATATCTAATTATTCACAACTATTTGTTGAAAAGTCAATCTTTTCTCCATTAAATTTTCTAAAAATGAATTGGCCACATATGTAAGATTAAATTCCTGGACTCTTCTGTACTTTGTTTATGTGAAGAGTCTTTCAACTATACTACACCTCCCTAATTACTGTAGATTTTGAAATCAGATAATGTAAATTGTCCAACTTTGTTTTTCTTTTTCAAAACTGTTTCAGTTAAAACCTTTGCTTGTCCATAAACATTTTAAAATCAGCCTATTACTTCGTGTAAAAATTCTTGCTAGATAAAGATCAATATGGAAGAGAACTGATATTTTAATAATACTGATTTTTTAAAATTTAATTTTATTATTGTGCTGGGTAAGATACATTGTGGAATTTACAAAGGTTCTTACAATGTATCAAATAATATCATGCTTGAATTCATTCTCTCCACCACTCTCCTTTAGCCCTACCCCACTGGAGAAATAGTTTTGACAGGTATGTTTTTTCTGCTTACATTCATGTGCACAGTCTTTGCACCATATTCACCCTCTAACATCCCTTCTCCACCTCTTCCCCCGCCCACTGGTACCAAGCTCCCCAGGCAGAATCTATTTAGTCCTCCTGTTCTCTGATTTTACAACAGAAAGGTAAAAGAAATGACATTTTTGCGTGTAACAATATCGATTCTTTTGCTCTGTGAACAGAGCATTTACTAAGGCCTTCTAGTGTCAGTGCTTTGTAGTTATCAGAACACAGATCTAGAGATCTAGAACATATTTTACTACATTTATATCTTTTATTTAATGTATTTATATACCATTGCTAAGCATGTGCTCTTCCACTTTCCAGTATTTAAAGGTATAACGGATTTTTATATATTGACCTCATAGCCAGTGATCTTGCTAAACAGAGGAATCCGTTTTAGTAGTTTTCTCTGGATTACACAGATTATTATGTCATCTAAGAATAGGGACATTATTTCTTTCATCCTAATATGAATGTTCTTTATTTATATCTGTAGTCTACAAAACTGGCAAAAGACTTTACTACAGTGTAAAGTAAATGACAGAAATGATGGGAAATGACATCTTTGCCTTTTTCCCTCTTTGGGGATAAAATGATTAAATGAGTTATTCCTTAACCACTAGGTATGATTTTAGTTTTAGGATTTTGTAGGTGGAATTTACCAGTTTGAGGGAGCTCTCTTTTCCTAGGTTGCTGAGACATTTTAGCTGGAAAGGATGTTGAATTTGGTGAATATCTTTGCTCCGTTATTAGAGAGGAACATACGGTTTTACTTCTTCAGATTAACTTGCTGCTGTGATTCTCAGTGCACCAACAAATCCCATCCTCTCTAGTGGTATTTGTGTTTGGGTGAGATGTTCAGTTCCTGGAGGTTTTTCCAGTGTTGTTACTCCATCTTCCATCTTAAGCTCCACATGTGTCAGAGCAGGTGTCTTCTACATGCGCCTCCGGCATGGAAAACTGCTATGACTTGTTCCATTCTTGGTGGCCTACTGATAGAAAGGGAGGATTTTTTTCATTGTTCTGGTTCTCTTCCAGTCATGCCACATCTTTTATCTCTGTATCTCAGGGTTGGGAATATCTTAGTGATTCTGCCTCTTTCCCAGCACTGGGAGACAGACCATTGGCCTGGACCTACAGTGATTTATTTGTCCTACTGAAACCCTGGGTCTAGGAAAGCTTTTTGTTTTTTTCTGGTTTCCAATGTGTCTTCATCCATCCCTGGGAAAAAGGGCTTGCTGCCCTTTGCTCTGTTGCTCATGGTTTTGTTCCATAAGGGAAGCAGAATTGGGAGGAGAGAGGAGCCTTTGATTTCTTGCAGCACTTACAGTTGTCCTCACATTATCCTTTCCAAAGGGAAGGCTTTCTC